CTCCTTTCAATCCTCTGGTCACCTGGCCTTTTTTAAGTCTTAGTGTTTCTTGTAACTTCCCCAGTCATTTTTTCCTCTTCCTGTCAACTTCCTTGGTAAGTGATAAAATAATGTCCTATGTTTCATTCATTCAACAAATATTTATTGAACACTTGTTAGGTTCCAGGAAATATGCCAGTTGCTAGAGATGAAGCAGCAAACAAGACCGACAAAGCCATTTTCCTCATGGGGACTACTGCTAAGGCAGACACTTAATGGACTGAACCACCCAGGTGCCCCCAGATGGATACTTATAATATAATATAATATAACATAATATAATATAATATGTATACACACATATTTAATGGAGAAAAATTAAAGACATTTCCACTAAAGTCAGGAATAAGGCAAAGATGATTACTATCTCCATTACTATATTGTGCTGGAAGTATTAGCCAATGTAATGTAGCCTGGGTTCTTTATCATACCTCTGATATCTTCCCCTAAATTCCCTTCCGTTTAATCTAGTCAGAGTTGGTATCTATGGCTAGCACCAAATAATATAACTTCTTTATCCTTTCAGTATTTCCACATTTTCTATGATAACAACGCATCACTTTAATAGAGGGAAAAATTTTAAATAGGAAAAACACCACTAAACCATCCCCCAATCACTCTCCTCTCAGCAGTTTTAAACAATGGTTGAGTTAAAAAAAAATTCAGCTTCTGCATTTGTAGGTTCTAAAAATAATAAATATCATCTTTATGTAATGAAATGTCACTATTTTTTAAAATAAATTTTACTGCATGGTAACTACAAATATTTATAATGGAAAAATCAATAAATCACACCACTGATGGAAATTGGTGAAGCCCTGGAAGTCATATATGAGGTTTTATTGAAGCTCCATAGTTTTTTTAAAAAGCAAATATATTGACTAGCTGCTCTGAAATATTGCCTACAAGGTATACTTTCCAATGACCTTGGCACTAAACAGCCAAGAAAGATGTTATTTCTGCAACTCCTGATTAGAAATGGTTTCATGTCCAGATCCATAAAAATTTGTGGGAATTAATTATATTGCATGAAATAAAACTATAAAATATTTTATTGCATAAATTAAGTTTTTTACCCAACCTCCTGAAATTTCCTGTTGTAGATATAGAAATTGTCAAATGCAGATTTTCTTTATGAATAGGATAAAAATTTATGTAGTTTTGTTGCAAGATAGTTTATTTTATTTTATTTTATTATGTTATGTTAGTCACCATACATTACATCATTAGTTTTTGATGCAGTGTTCCATGATTCATCCTTTGCGAATAACACTCAGTGCTCCATTCAATACGTGTCGTTCTTAATACCCATCAACGGGCTAACACATCCCGCTACCCCCTCCCCTCTAAAACCCTCAGTTTGTTTCTCAGAGTCCATAGTCTCTCATGGTTCGTCTCCCCCTCCGATTCCCCCCCTTCATTTTTCCCTTCCTACTATCTTCTTTTTTTTTTTTTTTAACATATAATGTATTATTTGTTTCAGAGGTACAGGTCTGTGATTCATCAGTCTTACACAACTCACAGCGCTCACCAGCAAGATAGTTTTAAGAAGAGCTTCCTTAGCGTTCATTTGAAAAGAATTGCTTATTTCAACTTCCATTTCTTTGTATCATTTTATTTGTGTGAAGTCTGGTACGTCATATCCTTTGTAAAGTTTGGTTTTTCTGTGAGGACAGACTGAAAGATGAGTGGGGGTAATAATGCCCATCACCAGAGAACATACTTGTTAGAAGATTGAATGGCGGGCATTGCAAGGGCAGGACCAACTTGAGAAGCTAGCCTTGGCCTAATTACACCTGTGTTGTTACCTACCACCTTCCTTGCTGTCACCACTGCTAAGGAAAAATGCTCTCTCTTGCTTCTCTGTTTAGGATTTACTCATACTGTCACTTTCAGGGACAAGTGCACTGAGCATAATAAGTAAATAAATGTATTGTTTTATTTACAAAATGCCTCCCAGTGTCATTTTGGAAGCAGGGCAATATAAATGAGACAGGCAGGACAAATGACCTGGGATTTGGTTTGTGACCTGTTGTAAGTTGTCTATAGTTTATTTTTAAACAATTCAGCATAAACAATGTGGCTATATGCAAAAGTTCAAAGGTGGTTCACACCAAGGGTAGTCCTTACTCATAAAAATATTAATGGGAAAGGTGAAAGCCCACAAGAACCAAAAAATGCGAAGACAACAAAATATGGCTTATTAAAGGATGTTCAGAGAAAGAAAATCAAAGGACACTGGGAAAGTAGAACTCTCAACTATTTTGTCTATTTTGTTTCTAATTTCTCCATCAGTGACTAGTCTTTGATACCTAAGCCCGATTATGATAAGACCAAAAAAATTACAAACCAAAATCACTTACAAATACCAATGCAAAAATCCTAAATATAGTGAATAACGTCCAGTAATACACTAAGTAAATAATGTATTATGACCAAGTGGGACTTATATAAAGTATGAAAGTATGGTTTAATATTAGGAAATATTAATACAATTCACCATATTAATATGTCCAGTTGCTGAAAAGCACTAACAAAATTCAACACTTATTCCTAATTTAAAACTCCTGAGAAAATAGAAGTGGATGGATACTTTCTTTCTTCTTTTTTTTCTTTAAACATTTTACTTATTTATTTGAGAGAGAGCGACAGAGGGAGAAAGAGAAGCAGACTTCCCACTGAGTGGGGAGCCCGATGTGGGACTCCAGCCCAGGACCCTGAGACCATGACCTGAGCCGAAGGCAGACACTTAATGGACTGAACCACCCAGGTGCCCCCAGGTCAAAGGGAGCCAACCTGAAGCTGGCCAAATCTGATGATTTGAGGATCAAAATAAGGATGGGGAAGAACTGAACAATATCCCATGTGGAAGAATTCCAAATAAATTATACAAACAAGGGAGGGGGAGATTAACAACCAGAAATGTGCACTGTGCACAGTGACTTCCTTCCAAGGGGTACAGTATGGAAAGGGGGAAAAACTACAATGGAGAACTCTGACAAACTGCTTTAGCCAGGTGATCAAGTTTAACATAAACAAATTATGTTGGTAGTGTGTACCCCTGCTATGATGTGATGAAAGTGACACTTTACCTCTGTGGTCTTCCCCTCAAAAACCTATAACCCCGGTCTAATCATGGGAAAACACCGATAAATTCCAGTAGAAGGGCATCCTACAAGATACCTCACCAGTTTTTCCCCAAATTGTCAAGGTCATCAAAAGCAAGCATAGTCTGAGAAACTGTCAAAGCCAAGAAGAGCCTAAAGAGAAATGCCAACTACATGTAATATGGTATCCTGGAAGGGATATTGGAACAGAAAGGGATTAGGTAAAAGTTAAAGAAATAATTATGGACTGTAATTCATGTGAATGTATCAATATTTGGTTCACTAATTATAACAATGTATCATAATAATAAGAGGTTAATAATAGGGGAAACGTGGGTGGGTGTGGTACATGGGAACTGTGTACTACATCTACTCAATTTTTCTGTACATCTAAAACTGTCCTCAAAATAGTCTAATATAACTAACTAACTAAATAAATAATAAAGACAGTAATGGAATTTTTTATGGACTTCTTGAACAAAAAGGAAAACATAAATTCATGCTGATAGTAAATAAGGAGAGCTCTTCTTTATAGTAGCATCATCACTAATAAATGTGGAGTCCTTGAAGGAATTAGGTGGGGGGGGGGAAAGCTAGTTTGTAACCATCATTGTAAAGATAGGTTGCAGCAAGATCATCCAATGGAGGTTGAACCACAAGGTAGAGTTTGATTAGGAGCAAGGTATTTGTTTGGTCTCAAAGTAGCTTTTCACAGATTATTAGTTGCAAGGGATAAAATAAACAGTGGAGAACCTGGAAAACACCTGGATAATCAGGTGATAAAGATTAATATCATCTTATAATGGACATACATCCTGAACCTTCAAATATAATAACCTGAGAAAGACACAACTTCACTTACGTGGTTGTTTCCACCGAGGATGCATAACTTGGATCTAACCATGAGGAAACATCAAAGGTTGATGTGGGAATTTGTATTTGAGAAGAGTCTTTCTTTGTAAGGGGATGAATTGCTTTGGTCATAAGCCTAAGCCCTCTTGGTCATAAAGCTGTTAAATAATCAAATGCAAATATTCCAGACTGTGATTTTAACTGTTATATTTATAAATTAGAAACTACCACAACAGGAAGATTTATTCCAATACGCAGACATTAGCAGTTTACTTGTAGTGGCAGGAAAGAATGCAGGGGAGGGAGCGACCATGGAGAGTGTGGGGAGGTGGTGGGAAGAGAGATGGGACTCTGAGCTGAGATTGCCAAGTTGTTCTTTTTTTTTTTTTTTTTTTACCAGCTGCTGTTCTAAGTGCTTGTCAGAAATTGACTCTTTAAGTGGGAACGCTCAGTAATTGGTCTCTCTCAAAACAAAACACAACACAATTACGATACGAAATAACTTTCTCATAAGTACTTAAGGCTCTGCTGCAGTGATTGTTCACATGGATAGAAGAACGTGAGCCTGAGATTACCGAGTGGTTTTTCGTAGAAACGCCAGCAACCCTACTTGGTGATACCAAATGTGGAGACCCCCTTGAAAAGCCTGATTCTTTGTATCCTAGAAAGTCTTAAAAGCATGCACTGCGAGCGGCCTATGTATCTGTTTGGGTGCCAGGCACTCACGTTCTCTCTTCCTTTACGGATGAATTCCAGAGCGGGTCGCTGCCTTTTTTAGCCAAAGTTGACAGTTCTAAATAACTTCCCAGCTCCAAATCTAGGAACTAGTTAGGGTTTACGTTGGTTATCGCGTCTGCGTATATCACGCAATGGATTCTGGGAGACCCAGTCTCTGAGGACTGAGGTTAACAGGCCCAGTGTGAACGCTGGACTTCAGTTCCCACAATGCCGAGCGCAAATCTGTAATTTCTGCCGGGGTAATCGCGAGGTGGCCGCCATCTTGCGTACGGCGGTGCAGTTTCCCAGATGCTGAGGGCTTGGGTTTTAGTTCCTCTGTGCTTTGGGGTGTGTTTGCGCTTTGCTTTCACCTTTTCAGATGTTCGTATCTTTCTAGACCACGATTTTATTGGGAGGTAAAAGTCAATGTAGTGTAAGGTGAGTAAATACTCCATTTTAAGTAAGGGTGGGGTAATGGTGGTGACGTTTTTCGGGTTTTTTGGCTTCTCGTCTGCTCTTGGCTGGACCCTTTTGATTAGCCGTAAACGTGGAAGCCCGGAGTGAACCTTTGAGTCTAGGATATCTCTTGAGTTCCTAGACAGAACCTGAACATGTCTCCGTTGGGAGAAAAGAATCTGGGTGACGCACTTTTGCCCGGGCCACCTTTGGAGGTCAGAAGGCCAGGGGACTCAGGTTGTGTATAGGCCACGCTCTGTTAGTGCAACCGTCTTGCTGTTCCTTGAGACTTTTATGGTATTTCGAATGAGGAAATGAGAAGCTGGGAGGTGGTCGGAGGCGGGGGTGGGGGGTTGGAGGGGCGTTTCCGATAGGACCGCGTTCTTTACAGTCGTTTTTTGTTTTTTGTTTTTTCGGTTTCTGTGGGCCTACTTGTATCGTTGTCTAGTTCGTCTTTTTTCCTTTTTCTTGTTCTGCCCTGTTGGAGGAATACCAGAGAGCGAGCAGAATGAAGTATTGAGTAAAACAGCGTTTGGGATTGCACTTTTGAGGGCCCCTAAGAAATTTCAAGGGAAGCAGCATTTATCTTCCAGATTGACCAAGCATGTGGAAAAGATGAATGCGTTGATTTGGGGAGTTGCCAGATTTGTGTATAAATTATATATATCACTGGGTGACGCACTTTTGCCCGGGCCACCTTCTTTGGAGGTCAGAAGGCCAGGGGACTCAGGTTATATATGATATGTTTGATATATTTGAGTCATTCTTAGTGCAACTGAAGTTTTTTTTTTTTTCTTTTAAAATGCTGTACACCCATTTGGAAACCACTCATATTCTTCACAGGAAAAGGGTCTGTAAAGTTCGGCGTTTGAGTATCTAACGTTTGATTGCTAAGGAGATGCTGAGGTTTGAGAGCTGGATCCATTTACTCCGAAGGATATAGTGGTTTTAAACAATAAGAGTTTATGAAGACATTTATCACAGCCAGTTTGGGTAGGTGTCAGTTTGGCTAGCAGATTTACTCTTCATCTTAGTACACAGCTGTGTATATCATCAAAACATATTACTGATTCAATTTTCCAAACTTACTTAAATTCTTCCAAGTTTTTAAGTTCAGAGATGCATTTAGGGATGCCTGGGTGCCTCAGTCCTTTAAGCATCTGCCTTGGGCTCAGGTCTGATCAGGTCCTGAGGTTGAGCCCCGCATGGGCTCCTTGCTCAGAAGGGAGCCTGCTTCTCCCTCTACCTGCTGCTCCCCCTCCTTGTGCTCTCTCTCTCTGACAAATAAAATCTATTAAAAAATGCATCATTTGGATTAAAAGTGAGATATATCTTTTTAAAAAAAAAAAAGATCCTTACTTACCTTCAGTGAGGCCCCTCCCTAAATCGTGATAACAATACTTAAATAGTAAGTGGTTCTAAAATTACAATTTTGTAATTTTTGTATTCTGGGAAAATTTACCATTTAAATGTCTTTTCTGTTTTCTTGTTTCTGAAAAACTTTTGTTTAGATTTTTAAAATATTAGTTATTAATTACATGATTTATTTGCTCCTCAGATGCCTTATGGTGAAATTGAAGCGAAATCTTTGGATCATGGTGAAGAACTAACAGGTGAACCATGCTATAAAAAACTGAAGTCAACTGAAGAGGCGTATGTTTTTTCCCATCATGGTAGTGCTAATTTCCACAGAATCCAAGAGAAAACTGGGAATGATTGGGTCCCTGTGACCATTGTTGATGTCAGAGGTCATAGTTATCCTCAGGAGGACAAAACCAAAACTACAGACTTGGTGAAACCTGTGCATGATGAGGTTCCTGGCAATAATAGATCAGATGTTATTGAATCCATTGATCCACAAATTTTACAGGATGCAAGTCCTGCATTGGTATCCAAAGATGATGAGATATATAGCACAAGTAAAGCATTTATAGGACCCATTTACAAACCTCCTGAGAAGAAGAAATGTAATGAAAGGGGAAATCACTCAGATGCAATCAGTGGTACAGATGGCAAAGGAGGACGAGAACAGAAACAGAAATTCAACTCCAAAAAATCAGAGCTTGACAACGAATTATTCCAGTTTTATAAGGAAATTGAAGAGCTTGAAAATGAAAAAGATGATTTGGAAGGCAGTTGTAAAGAACCCAAACCCTCTGAGGAAAAACTTACTACGTATTATCGGGACCATTATAATGAGCTGTTAAAATCTGAAGAAGGAAAGGAAAGAGATATTAGTAATGTTCTTCAGTCACATTGTGGTTTTCAGCAGCAGGTGGAGAATGAACCAGGCAAATATCCTTGTAATGGACAAGTAATACCTGCATTCTGTGAAGATTCGTTAATTTCCTTCGGGCCTGAATGGCAGTCAGTGCATTCTTTTATAGTACCCCAAGGTCCTCCTCCTCCCATTTTTAACTATCATTTAAATATGCAAAGATTTAATGCTCCACTAAATCCACCATCAAATATTTTCCATGCTCCAGATGGGTCTCAGCATCAAAATGGCTGTTATGTAAATAGTTGTCACATTAACTGGCATTGTTTTTCTTTTGATCAGAACAATGACTATATTGACTGTAGTGAGTATACCAGTAGAGATCATTCCCCTGCAAATGGTTACAGTGTGCAAGATGCATATGTAAGTAATGGTTTCTGTGAAACCAGGGAAGGATGCTGGAAAGATCCTTCTATGGGCAAGCATAATGGAACAGACAGGCTTATGAACCAGCAGTTTCAAGAGGAAAAGTTAAATAAATTGCAGAAGTTACTTATTCTTTTAAGAGGTTTGCCTGGTTCTGGGAAAACAACGTTGTCTCGGTGAGTAAAGGATACCAAGTGAATGCTTGGTAATTCATTACTTAAAAATCATAGATGATAGTAGTTATCAATGACAAATGCTTTCATGTTTCTAGTAGAAAATCTAATTTGTTAACACTTGAGAATGACATCTGACAGTGTAAATATTTAAAAAGATGTTTTCTGATGGAGGAAAGGAGAATTGACATAAAGATTCTGCTAAGGGTTTTAAAAATAGATACACCGTGTATAATTATGACAGTGATGCAAGTAAATGCTATTTGAGAACTGTACTGGCCTTCCTTTTTTAAGTCAGCTATCCAAGCAGAGCTGGACTTAGGGTTGGAAGATTTGGGCTTTTGACCCAGTTATTTCAAACTTTATGGCCTTGGACAAGTTTTGCTATCTGTTAATAGACAGGGTAATACTTATTTTTCTGGAATAATTGTGAGAAGCAAATGAGATAAACCAAGGAAGAGGAGCTGTGAGTTTGTTTTCAGCACTGTGCAGATTCATATCTTTGGCAGAGGGAACCCTTTTTTTATTTAAGTTTCAGGAGTCTGAAGTGAGCAGTACCTGAGTTAAATGGAGTTAGAACTGGTTATGTTTTATTGTATGACAGAATGTTTCAAATTCCTGTTTTTTGTTTGCATTTTTAAAAAAGAATATTGATGCACTTGAATTCATTTGTGCAGTTGTGAAAAATAGTACAAAGAAAAGCATTACAGATTCTTTGTAGCTTTTGTAGGATGATTCAGGATTTATGACTGATCAAGAGAAAAAGAAAATTGTTTGATGTCTTCCAGCAAGGATAAAATCCAAAGAACCGTTGTGCAAATGTTTTATATTTACTTGCAAAACAGTCTAAACAGAAGTTTCTTCAGAAGCAGTAAATTAAAGAAAGATTAAATTTACCATACATTTCAAGCTAGCCTGTAAGCTGTGATCTTTGTAAATGAATTTAAATTTTGCATTTTGATTCTTATTTATTTATTTATTTATTTACTGGGACGCCTGGGTGGCTCAGTCAGTTAAGCATCTGCCTTCAGCTCAGGTCATGATCCCAGGGTCCTGGAATCGAGTCCCGCTTCAGGCTCCTTGCTCAGCGGGGAGCCTGCTTCTCCCTCTACCTGCCGCCCCCCTGCTTGTGTGTGCTCTCTCGCTCTCTCTGACAAATAAGTAAATAAAATCTTAAAAAAAAATTTTTTTTTTTTTTGTTTAGTTAGAGAAGGAGATCGAGAGAGCACGAGGAGAAGGAGAGGGAGAAGCAGACCCCACTGAGCAGGGAGCCAGACAAAGGGGTGGGGGCGCTGGATCATGACCTGAGTTGAAGGCAGACGTTTAACCAACCAAGCCGCCTAGGAGCCCCTATTCTTATTTTAATGAAGATTTTGTAGAGAAGGTGAAATTTCAACTCTTTAGAAAGGATAGAAATTAAGAATGAAGTGTCACAAACACGGGCAGTCTCCTAGATTTAGAATGTAATATCAGAGGAAAGAAATAGTTGAAATTTGGAAATTATGTGAAGGAATCTCCTAGCTGGGGTCACCTGACTATGCGTGGGTATAGAATAAATGTAAGAAAGAAAGATTAGATTTGGAACAACATTGGGGTATGTTGAAGATGAATAAAGTAGTGGTATTGCAATAGAATTTCAAGGAGATGTAATTGTAGTGGGAGATGATAGAGGTGATATATATGGTACGAATCAGATGTATGTTGTAAGAAAAGAATAGTAGTAACTGCCATTTGTGTCATGATTTCAGTTTACAGAGTACTTTCATATATTAAAATCTTGTAAAATGGGTTGTGTTATTTTCATTTCACAGAAGGAGCAGAGGCTTAAGAGAATTAAGTTTGGGTTAAAGGGCTTGGGAGAAGTTGTAAGAACTGGTAGGAGGTCAAACTAGAGATATAAATGATAGCATGTTTCTTCCCTGCTCCTTCACTTTAGTATCTATTGCAAGCATGGCCCTATAACTGTCTCCTGACTTTCAGGAGCTTGTTTAAAGAAGTAGGTAGGAGTAGCTGTTTAGGTCACCGCATTTTGAATGAAGTAAGATTGGTTGGTTGGGACTGGATAGAAAGCTAGATATTCTGTGGTGGGGGAATGGCTTTACGTAGGAGTTAACTTTCAAAATGAGCTTTGAAGAAAGAAAGGAGTGAAGATTTGGTAGATCAAAGTTGGGTTGATTTGGGGCACTAAATTAAAAGGTAGCATTGTTTAGTTTTGCTGTGTGGTAGTAAGCATAGGAGGGTAAAGTTCAGAGTCTTTGGGGGTAGTTTTCAAGTCCTCTTCTTCCTTAATTTAGTCCTTACCCACCTGTTTGTCTTTTTGTCCTTCTGCATTTGGACTAGCACCTACCCTCCACTGCAGGAGACATGATACTTGTTCATTCATTGTTCTCAGGACTCTACTTATTCAAAGGTTCTCTCAAATGCCTCTGCTTTTTGAGGTTTTGGTTTATCATCTCAGTCTTCCGTAATCCTTCTGAACTCATATAGTACTTATCGTTACCAAGTTTTTACTTAATTGTTTACCCACAAATTTGCTAACAGATTTTAATGAAGTACGTTTTAGGTTAAATTCTAACACAAGCACAGACTTTGAATATTTATGAATAAGCTAGTGCAAAACAGTTCATACACCTTTGTAGGTATGTGAAAGTGCTAGCTCTTTGTCCTTTTAGGCAAACTGACAGCGCTTTGATGAAAGGTTTATTTCAGGCAGAATTCAACAATTTCTAGCTGTGGAATTTTGTTACCATTGTAATTGACATTAGCTAAACAGAATCCTCTGAGTCTGTGGTTGACACAGGACCCTTCAGGGATCAAGCCTTGGGTGTCATTCCTAGGGGTCTGGGCTATAGATTTTGCTAGATTCATATACCCTGTTCATATGAGGAGAAAGGGTGAACCTAAAATATTTTAGCTAATATGCATTTCTTTTGCTGTACTGATTTCACCAATGAGTGAATATATTTTCAGAAACAGGCCACTAATTTCATTATTATATTAGCAAAATGTTGGGAGTTGATCAGAGATAAACACTGAAGCACTTTCAGAGAGGAGAGATGTTACACTGCTGATTTTGAAGATGGTGGAAGGGACCATGAGCCCAGATAGGCAGGTGGCTTTTAGAAGCTGAAAAATTTGGCAAGGAAACAGGTTCTCCTTTGGAGCTTCCAGGAGGAATGCCAGCCTACCCAGACCTTGATTTTAGCGCGGTGGAACTGATTTCAGACTGCTGACCTTCAGAACTATAATACAATAATAAGTGCATGTTGTTTTAAGCCACCAAATACGTGGTAATTTGTTATAGCAGCCATAAGAAACTACAGTTTAAAGAGAGATGGGAAGAGATTTTTTTTTTTTCTCCCTGCTTTTGGAGATCTCGGTTTAAACTCCAGAGGAAAGATTGACCTTTCCTTATGTTGATCTCTATTCTTAATTTAAGGAGTGTTTAGAGAATGAGGTGCCCCAGTAAAGTGGTTTTGGGGTAGGGGTATGCAGGGGCCACTCAGTAAATAAGGAGGTAAAGGGTTTATGAAGTGTCAGTTCTCAGATTTTTTTTGAGAAAATCACTTCTCTTTGTAAATGCACACAGATATATTAAAATAATGTACAGTTCTTAGAAGTTGTAAAAATGAAGTATGAAAAAAATAAAAACTATGAAAATTAACTCAGTAATAGGCCATTTGGGGAAGTAGGGTTCTCAAAACAGGGTTAAGGAACAGGATTCACTTGTTCCTTACTTCAGTGAAGAATTAGAAGCACAGACTGGGTTAGTTATCTGGCTGTGTAACAAATTACCTTATTAAAAACTGAGTTAAAGCAACAAACATTTACCATCTCACAGTTTCTGAAGGACAGGCGCCTGCGTGAATTATCTAGGTGCCTCTGGGTCAAGGTCTTTAACAATGCTTTGATTAAGGTGTTGGCTAGGGCTGTGTTCTGGTCTGAAGGTTTATTTTGGGGTGGATCTTCTTGGAAGATCTTCCTTGAGGTTGTCAACAAGACAAGTTACTTGTGAGCTGTTAGGTTGAGGGCCTCCGTTAGTTGCTGGCTATATACAGGCTGGAGACCTCTCTTGGTTCTTTGCTCCCTGGGCTGCTTTCCACACACAGCGTGATGAGACAAAGTGAGCCAGCTCTGAGCCCAAGAAAGAAGCCACTTTTTTTTCCCTGTAATCTAGTATCAGAAGTGACATTCTGTCAATGCCATATTCCATTAGTTAGAAGGTAGTCACTGACTCCCACCCACACTCAAGGGGAAGGGATTATATAAGGGTGTGAATACCGGGGTCATTGTAAGCCATTAGTTTTGGCTCTCCCATGCAGCTATGTAACTCTGGTGGCCTGATTTCTGAAGTCATTTTCTTTTTCTGGATTTGTAAATAGGAAATTAGCAAGGTTGTTATGAATATTAAATGGGTCATGACATTCTGAAAAAATACAAATCAAGTAGCGAGTGGGCCTATATCTGATTTTTTTTTAGTAGATACTTCATTTTTCAGAGTTCTAAGTTTTGATGTTTGGAGAATTCATTTTAATACCTTACTTGTGAGAGTTTTAATAGAATCTGACTACAAGAATTTTGAAAATACTAATATTCCTAAGTAATTTATCTTTTATTCAGATGGTTTGTATGGCATCAGATATATCCAAATTGATCATAAGTATTTTTTTAATATAAGTCCCCAAAATAAAGCTTCATAGTTTGAGATAACTCATGGAATTTTATTTTGTTTTATTTTTAAAGATTTTATTTATTTATTTGACAGAGAGAGACACAGCGAGAGAGGGAACACAAGCAGGGGGAGTGGGAGAGGGAGAAGCAGGCTTCCCGCTGAGCAGGGAGCCTGATGCGGGGCTGGATCCCAGGACTCTGGTATCATGATCTGAGCTGAAGGCAGATGCTTAACGACTGAGCCACCCAGGTGCCCCACGACTAGAGCCACCCAGGTGCCCCAGATAATTCATGGAATTTTAAAAAGCTGCATGAACAGCCTGGAAAGAAAAAAGTCTCTCTCCAAGCTAAAGTTATTTGCTATAATTATGATTTATATATTTAAGATGTTCTTCAAAGAGGTTTATTCATGTTTGATGTTTACTTGGTTTAATGATGTAAATTGATGTGCTGTCTCCTACCCTCTCTCTCCACGCCTCCCCCATCCCCACCTTTTTTGAGGTTAAAACATTCCTTGGATACAAAAGCTACTCTACTCTTACAGTATGGTATTACTAACATCTGAAAAATCACGCAAATAAAGTAATAGAATGGAAAAAATGAAACAAGGTATCTAAGAAAGATGGTATCAGTTTTCTGGTACTGTTAAATATAATTAGGTTATCATAAGGTTGATTATGATCAGAATCATTTTAGGTGATTGAGCTTTGGTTTGGAATGCTAATAGTGTAGCATTTTTTTTTTTTTCAATACGAGGCTTGAACTCACGCCCCTGAGATCAAGACCTGAGCTGAGATCAAGAGTTGAATGCTTAACTGACTGAACCATCCAGGTGCCTCATATTGTAGCAGTTTTATATTCTAGGTTATCTGTATAAACAAATAAGGTGTCAAATATGTTGGGTGGTGTATTTTGGAAAAAGTACGGTGGTTTAAGAAAAATCCAACTCTAGACTCACAACCATTTAATTTCATTTGCTTTGCTTGAAATAATTTGAACTGTAATTCTGTAAGTGGAAATGCATGTTTAAATCTTTTTTTATTTTTGTCTATGCAATTTTATTTTTATTATAAAATATACAGGCATAACTTTTTTAATTGTACTTCATAGATACTGCACTTTTTACAAATTGAAGGTTCGTGGTAACCCTGTGTCGAGCAAGTTTTTGGCTCCTTTCTTCCAATAGCATTTGCTCACTTAGTGTCCTTATGTCACTTGGTTATTCTCACAATATTTCAAACTTTTTTATTATCATATTTGTTATGGTGATCCATGATCAGTGATGTTAGTGTTGTAGTTGTTTTGGGGTGCCATGAGCTGTGCCCATATAATAAGATGGCAAACTTAATTGATACATGTTAATGTGTATTCTGACTGCTCCACCAACCTGCTGTTCTCCCATCTCTCCCTATTTTCAGGCCTTACCTATTCCCTGAGACACAACAGTATTGAAATTAGGCCAGTAAATAACCCTACAGTGGCCTCAGTGTTCAAGTGAAAGGAAGAGTTGCACATCTCTCACTTTAAATCACAGGCTGGAAGTGATTAAGGTTAGTGAGGAAGGCATGCCAAAAGTCCAGATAGGCTTCTTGAGCCAAACAGGCAGCCAAATTGTGAGTGTGAGAAAGGTTCTTGAAGGAAATTAAAAGTGCTACTCCAGTGAACACACAGATGATAAGAAAGCAAAACAGCCTTGTTAGTGTGGAGAAAGTTGGAATAGTCTGGTTAGTAGATCAAACCAGCCACAACATTCTCTTAAGCCAAAGCCTAACCCAGAGCCCTAACTCTGCAGTTCTCTGAAGGCTGAAAGAGATGAGGAAGCTACCAGGGAATAGTTTGAAGCTGGCAGAGGTTGGTTCATGAGGTTTAAGGAAAGAAGCTGTCTCCGTAACATAAAAGCACAAGGAAAAACAGCAAGTGCTGGTGTAGAAGCTGCAGCAAGATCTAGTGGAGATAATTAATGAAGATCTAGCTAAGATAATCAACAGAAGTGGCTACACTAAATGACAGATTTTCAATGTAGACAAATGGCCTTCTGGAATAAGTTGCTATTTAGGATTTTAATAGGTAGAGAGGGGAAGTCAATGCCTTAGCTTCAATAGAGGCTGACTCCTCAGGGACTAATGCAGCTGGTGACTAAGTTGAAGCTAGTGCTCATTTACCATTCTGAAAATCTAGAGCCCTTAAGAATTATGCTAAATGTACTCTGCCTGTGCTTTTCAAATGGAACAGCAAGGCCTAAATGACAGCGTATTTGTTTACAACATGGTTCACTGAATATTGGAAGCCCACTGTTGAGACCTATGGCTCAGAAAAAAAGATTCCTTTCAAAATACTGCTGCTCACTGACAATGCACCTGGTCCCCCAAAAGCCCTGGTGCAGATGTAGAACAAGATTAATGTTGTTTTCATGCCTGCTACCACAACATTCATTCTTCAGCCCATGAATCGAGGAGTAATTTTGAATTTCAAGCCTTATTATTAAGAAATACATTTTGTAAGGCTGTAGCTGCCATACATACTGATTCTTGGATGTATCTGGGCAAAGTAAATTGAAAACCTTCTGGAAAGGATTCACCATTCTAGATGCCCTTAAGAATATTCATGATTCATAGGGTGAGGGCAAAATATTAACATGAAGAGGAGTTTAGAAGTTGATGCCAGCCTCATGGATGACTTTGAAGGGTTCAAGACTTCAGTGGAGGAGACAACTGCAGATGTGGTGGAAACAGCAAGAGAACTAGAATTAGAGGTGGAGCCTGAAGATGGGACTACATTGCTGCAGTCTCATGATCAAACTTGAACAGATGAGTTGCTTATTACGGATAGCAAAGTGGTTTCTTGAGATGAAGTCCACTAGTGAAGATGCTGTAAAGATTGTTGAAATGACAACAAAAGATTTAGAATATTCCATAAACTTAGTTGCTAAAGCAGTGGCAGGGTTTGAGAGGATTAAGTCTGATTTTCAAAGAAGTTCTCTTGTGAGTAAAATGCAGTCAAACAGCATCACATGTTACAGAGAAATTGTTTAGGAAAGAGTCAATGGATGGGGTAAACTTCATTGTCCTATTTTAGAGAATTGCCACAGCCACCCCAGCCTTCACAACCACCAATCTGATCAGTCAGCCTACATCAACGTTGAGGCAAGAACCTCTGCCAGCAAAAAGATTCCAACTCTTTGAAAGCTCAGATGATGGTTAGCATTCCTTAGCAATAAAATATTTTTGAATTAAGGTGTATATGTTTTTTTTTTAGTAATAACTTTTATGCACTGGGAAGCCAGAAAATTAATTTTGACTTCCTTTATTGTGGTACTTGATTGTGGTGGTCTGAAACCAAACCTGCAGTATCTCTGAGGTATACCTGTATACAATTTTATAATAAGCTGAGGAAAGGAGAGAGATGTTTAATAGTCAGAGTCCTTCTTATTCCTTTGAATTAGGGGGTATGTATTCTTGAATCATTCCATGACAATACTCTTGTATTCTCAATCTCTTCTACCACTTTCCAGTCCCTTCCCCCCTCAAAAAGTTACAGAGTGATACCCAGTTGCCTAATGGCTGGTGGGGGGGAAACAACAAAATATTTCTGTTATTGTTAGATCCAGATTATTCTCTTAACTGTGTTTTACCTTTTCTCAGCACACTCCTAGTGTTATTCATGAGTCACTGGTTTTGGGAATTCTCTGAACACTAATCAATCCGTACTTAGAAATTTAAGGTGGTATCATATTGTGAGAATGAAATTTGATTATTGATTTATTGTGAAGAGTGTATTCTTTAGTGCTTAACAGTTGACTTCATTTAGTAATGTAATCTCTTAGCAGTTTTAAAGTTTGATTATACTTTGGAGGATCACAGGTTATTTCACAACCTTAAGTCTCAAGCTATTTCTGACTTCCACTTTTAGGTCATATATGTTTGCGCTTTGTGGAAATGAGTTTAGTAAAGCTATCTTAGGTCAAATAGAGTTTTCCCCAGATGAATTGCTTGTTTAGGCTTATTTGCCTTTTAGGTTACTTATTGCACTAAATTTAGGCAACTTTAACACCACATAAAAATTCTCTAAAGTTGTAGACATTGGGGAGGGTATGTGCTATGGCGAGCGCTGTGAATTGTGCAAGACTGTTGAATCACAGATCTGTACCTCTGAAACAAATAATGCAATATATGTTAAAAAAAAAAAGAAGAAGATAGCAGGAGGGGAAGAATGGAGGGGGAGACTAACCATGAGAGACGATGGACTCTGAAAAACAAACTGAGGGTTCTAGAGGGGAGGAGGGTGGGGGGATGGGTTAGCCTGGTGATGGGTATTAAAGAGGGCACGTTCTGCATGGAGCACTGGGTGTTATGCACAAACAGTCATGGAGCACTACATCACAAACTAATGATGTAATGTATGGTGATTAACATAACAATAAAAATTTAAAGAAAAAAATTCACTAAAGTTAAAACACGGATAATGACATAATTTTGGGATTGGTTGAAGAGTGTTTTTAAAAGTGGCAATACAAATGCCACTTAGTACAAATGCCACCTAAAAAGTTTTTGTTACTGGTTGTAATTGTGTAGATTTAAGTGTGAAGTGATACTTGAAATCTGAAAACTTCTTAAGGTTCAGCTCCTGTGCTATTCTGTTTGCAATATACTTACAGGTAAGTAACAGAGATTCATTTAATAAACTTTCCTGTGTGACTTATCTTTGATGGTTATAGATTTTATAAATGGCACCTTATGATTTCTTTCATTAACAGAATTCTGCTTGGTCAGAGTCGTGATGGCATTGTATTCAGCACTGATGACTATTTTCACCATCAAGATGGGTACAGGTATAATGTTAATCAACTTGGTGATGCCCATGACTGGAACCAGAACAGAGGTTTGTTTTGGGCCAAGTCTCCGGGATGGAATATTTGACTAGGAGTCAGAAGACTTGAGTTTTTATTCTCAACTTGACTTTTACCGGCTGAATGACTTTGGCAAGCCATTTAAATAGCTTTGAGACCAATTTGTTCATCTATTAGAAGGGATAGTTATACTTGCCTTACTTGATCAAGGTTGTTGTTAGAGAATTTAGATAGGTGTATTTTGCAAATTGTAAATAGTGTACCCATATAGGCTGGTAAAATAGAGGTGTGGGATATTTTGATATCCTTTATTTTATACCTCATGAATAAATTCAGACAACTCTTCATACTATTGTATATTCTCAAAAGGTATTTCCCTAAGAGTAATGCTAATGTTTTCTAAGGCTAGAAATAAAATGCCTGTGAATATTAAAGTTTTTCCCATTGATACTACTCTACGGAAAATCTACTTAATTCATTTTTTAGAAGTATATCTCTCAATTTTTCCTCATTCTGGAATTGACTGCACATTTGAATCACCTGGGGACCTTTTAAAAAAACTTACACCTGGGGGCGCCCGGGTGGCTCAGTCGTTAAGCGTCTGCCTTCCGCTCAGGTCCTGATCCCAGGGTACTGGGATCAAGCCCCGCATCGAGCTCCCTGCTCGGCAGGAAGCCTGCTTCTCCCTCTCGCACTCCCCCTGCTTGTGTTCCTGCTCTCACTGTCTCTCTCTCTGTCAAATAAATAAAATCTTTAAAAAATTTAAAAAAAATAAATAAAAATAAAAAAACTTATGCCTGAATCTTAGCCCCAGAGATTCTGGTTTAGTTGGTCTGGAGTGGATCTAAACAATATTTTTTGGGAAAGTTACCCAGATATTCTAATGTTGCAATAAGGATTGAAAACTTTTGATCTAGAACTAAGTAAGTTCTTTTTTAAAAGATGAAGAGTGTATTAATGATTAAACAAGTTGTTTTTATTGCGAAAAAATTTAAATCTAACTTAAGTTACAATGAACCCCATACCTCCGATCACTCAGAATTATTATCAGTTATCAAGATTTTGCCTTACTGGCTTTTATCTTTTTTGTTTTAACACCCTCTCTTTTTATTTGCTAAGGTTTTTAAAGCAAATTTTAGACATCAGATAGCATGCATTTCAGATTAACCTTTTTCTTATGTAATGGCATCTTACTTAATTGCAGTGCCATCGTCACACCTAAAAACACAAAAAACCAAACAGTTCCTTGACATCATGTAATACCCAGCCTGTAATGAAATTTCCCATTGTCTTACGTATTTCTTTACAGTTGTTCTTTTTGAATCAGGATACAAGCTAGATCCTGGCAGTACATTTAGTTTTATGTTTCTTTTAAGTATATTAATCTCTTTCCTCTTTTTATCCCCTCTTTTTGCCTTTATAACATTAATTTGTTGCAGAAGTTGGTTGGTTGTCTTATAGAATGTCCCATATTTTGTGGTTGTCTGTTCGCTTCCTTGTGGTAACTTATTTAACCTGTTTTTCTTTCTCCTGTATTTCCTTAAATAGAAGTTAGTTTTAGACAGGAGGATTTATTAGGTTCAACTTATTTTTTTGGTAAGCATATTTCTGGTTGTCCCAGTTTTAGTGATATTAAGATTGATTAATAGCTACAAAGGGACAGCCTACTCCTTCCATTATCAAGTTCCGTATCAACTTTATGTGTAATGGTTCTATCCAACAGTGGATTGTTTCCTGAATGAGACTTTTCATTAAAGGTTGCAAAATGGTGATTTTCTAGGTCTAACATTCCTTCCATGCTAGAATTCTTCTGTAATGAAGAACTTTCACCTAGAAATAGCAATTAGGGTTGTCCTAAATTTAGTACAGTATACACAGGAAAAACAGGATGAATGCTTTTCTTTTTAATTGTCAATTTTCACAGTAAGGAATTACAGTGAGGATATTTTTGAGTAAAACGTTTAATGTGAAATAAGTTTGATTATAAGATTGTTTCCTAGTATTGGTTCTCCACAGAACATTATGCTACAGAACATTACTGTGTAAATCAAGTAATGATGAATTGCAATTCCAAAAAATGTTTGGAGTTATTGGACTAAGTTAAGGAAAATAGTAGTAGGTGTTGAGTGGAATGAATAAAGGCAGTGAACAGAGAAAGTATACCTTTGGTGGACTGAAATTTGTATCGGACATTTTTTTCTCTTTGCAATACCAGCCTAGAATATTACAATAAATGTTTATGCTATGTGAGTTATACTTGCTGAATAAAAAAATGGTGTTTAAACTGCTGGTTTTATTATCAGTATAGCATAAATTTTTCCTAGGTAATGATAACTAGCGATTATTGAACGTTCTGAAAATTATAAGCATGACTTACTTAAGACTAAATTTCTCTTTAATAGATGTTTATTGAACACTTTTAAATGCCAGTTACCATTCTGGGAGTCTCGTATGCTTCATGTGTATTATTAGAAGAATCTTAAATTCATGTTAGACCACCTATAAATTAAAAACCTCTTTGAGGTGTCGGTCTGTTTCTTAGAGTATGGTGGTTCTTTTGTTTAAGAAATGACTCTTGTTATTAGGGTATTCAAACATTATTTACTTAGGAACTCTTTCCTCCTGGAGTACACTGGAATGTGGTATCGTATGATGATTTTTCATGGAAAGAGGGTAATCTCCCCATTCCTGCAAATCAGAGATTTAATTTGATTCTTAAGCTTCTCCTTGGAGGTGCCAGCCTAACCATTAGACATTAAGAGGATTAGTTTAGTAAGTTTTTTTTTTTTAATGAAAGATTTGATCACAGTTTATGATTGGGGATAGAGCAACGTAAGATGATAGCATCTTGATATCCTATTTATGACCCAAATTCTAAATTTCTTTTGGTATTTAGAGACATTCTCTCCCAAATATGTATTCCACCATAGTCATTTCTACTTAACTAACCTTGAGAATACTGTCTGCCCTTAGACATCTGTTTAAGTGTTTTCATTATGTAGAACTTAGTGTTTTGAATTCTAAGTCCCAGCAAAATTTCCATATCATTGCCTTTTGCCTCAGCCTTTTAAATTTTATTGTAGGTTCTTAATTATGTTTCTTGTCTATTTACACTTAGGGGTACACACACTCCTGTTGTTGACAGTGGCTCACTGTGGCAGTGATTCTTATCTCGTGGGGGAAGAGATGGCAAAGGGATAGGAAGATGTAGTGTAGAAAATTTCCATGGGATCCCAGCTCCTAATTTGAGAATTCTCGTCCTAAAAAATACTTACAAAGTCAGTTGAACTGTAGTACTTAGCTACTTGGTATATAAGTTTCTTATTTCAGAAGCATTATTTGTAATTGTAGAACTTTGGAAAATACAGATAAGCATAAATTGCTGATATTCCTGTTACCCTCAGATGACCACTTTTGATATTTAGTAACTCTTCCTGGATCTCTCTATTTTGACCAAAATAAGGTCATACTTACATATTGTGTTATAATTTGCCATTTTCAGTTAACAGTCTTCATCTTTCCATGTCAGTAAAGGCTCATCTCTTTTCATACTCAGACTGTATTCTAAGTAACTTGTTCATATATTTCCTATAAATCAAAGTTAGCTGTAGACTGAAGGCTTTCTTAGTTGTGAGTTCAACAAAATGTTCTTCCCCAAATGTCATTGTCAAAACCAGTATCTGGTCCAGAGAATACACATTGCCTGTGCTTATGTCTCTTAATTCCCTTTTAACCTAGTGGAGTCTTTTTGTTGTTGTTGTTCACTGCACTAACTCAGGAAATTGCATAGTTTTAGTTTTAAGCACAGAGATGTAGAAATTTTCTTAATAATGTTTAAGTTTTATTTTGTATATTTTAATCTAATAGTTTTCTGGTTTTTGTTTTTTAAATTTATTTTTTTATTTCAGCAAAACAAGCTATCAATCAGGGGAGATCTCCAGTTATAATAGACAACACTAATACACAAGCTTGGGAAATGAAACCATATGTGGAAATGGTAAATATGTGATATGAGAGAGTTTTAATATTTTATTCTTACCCATTTTTTCATACTCTGAAATTTTGGTTACTTTGATCATTACATAAACATTTGTCCCTGTTTTCTAAAGAGGTGTGTTCGTTAACTTAGTTTTTAAAAAACTGGGGTTGGTACTTATTAAGAAATATGCTCATCTTGTTAGTTTTGCCTGGACTTGAAGACAGTAATTCGAAATTGTCCGGTTATGTGGTCTTAACATTTTTGTGGACATATTATTTAAAAGTGAAATGTTTCTTGGTCAAACAAATTTAGAAGTATTGTCTAAATGAAACTTCTGTTTATCTGCCTTCTTTTTTACTTTAAGAAGTATTCTCTGGGTTTTTGTTTTCTTCCTTTCCTTTGTGTAGGCCATAGGAAAAGGATACAGAGTAGAGTTTCATGAACCTGAAACTTGGTGGAAATTTGATCCTGAAGAATTAGAAAAGTAAGGCGCTCAAATTTTTTTTGAATCCTTATCTTTGAAAAATTTTTTTGAGTCTTTATCTTCTTTTCTTTCTCTTCTCCTTTACACAGTTTCTTTACTGTTTACTAGCTTTTGCTTGTCATATGTTTGCTATTTGTGCATAGGGACTACTACTCACTTTCTGTCAAGAGGAACATTGACTTAAAGTTTCTTGGGGTACCTTGCCTTGGTCAGTTTTATTAAATTTTCCTTGTTAAGTGTGTGTGTTATTTTTTCATATGTAAATTCCTACATTGTTTCATAGTTTATTGAACGCTAGTGGAAATCCAGAACACTTTGGAAAAGTTAGAACTTTTCCTTCTGGTTTTCTGCAGACCACTTACCTACATTGCCCTTCAGACTTTTCTTCCCATCACCTTTTTACTTGGGGCTTTCATCTTCTTTCTCTTTTCCATCTTTGCTACTACAGGTTCGTAATCTGTAGATTCATAATCCAAAATCCTTGTAACCAGTGTGTTTTAGAATTCAGGGTTTGTTTTTGTTTATTTTTTTAATAGAAAGGTAATATGGTACATATACAGAATCATAATACCCCTAGCAGAGTTTGGGGCAGCATGTCATAATCACACATGTTATTTTTTCTGTGGCAAATCACTACTAGTCCTCTAATTAGATAAGAAAGATTCTACATAATCTAGTGTTCGTTCTGAGTAAGCTATTAGATTAAAATATACTTTGTGCTGCCAAATACAGTACAGGTTTGGTTAGATTTTGCTGCCATATGAATCAACGAAAAACTGAGTTTTCAGACCATTTTAGATTTCAAAATTTGTAGTGAGAGATTATGGACTTTTATTACTTTCAGCCCTGGCTTTCGATTTGTGTTTACCTTTGTCCCTTTCCCCTCATGTCACTGGTTTTCCTGACTCTTTTTCTTTGTTTTTATTCTCCCTCTCTGCTTTTCCTAACAACTTTGAAATGTAATTCACATACCTTACATTTTATGCATTAAAAGTTTACAATTTATGGTTTTCAGTGCAGTTGACTCTTGAACAAGGCAGGGGTTAGGGGTGCTGACCCCTGGGACAGTCGGAAATCCACAGATAATGGATTTTTGAGTCCATTTTTGATGATGACTTTTGATTCCCTCAAAATCTTTACTAATAGCCTACTGTTGACCAGAAGCCTTACTGATAACATAAACAGTTGATTAACACCTATTTTGTATGTTACCTGTATTATGTACCGTATTCTTACAATCAAGTAAGTTAGAGAAAAGAAATTGTTATTAGGAAAATCATAAGGAAGAGAAAGTACATTTACAGTACTAAGCTATATTTACTTTTTATTTTTTTATTTAAATTAAATCAGTTAACATACAGTGTTTTATTAGTTTCAGAGGTAGAGTTTAGTGATTCATCAGTTGCATATAATACCCAGTGCTCATTACACCAAGTGCCCTCCTAGGTCCACTTACCTGTGGCTTTTTTACTGGACTATATTTATTGAAAAAGCCACAGGTGAGTGGACCTGCCACAGTTTGAACCTATGTTGTTCAAGGGTCAACTGTATATGCACAGAGTTGTGCAGCCATGACTTCCTTTTTTTAAAAACCAGTTTTTTTCCCCCCACCTCAGCTTGCCCTCTTTCAGCTTAAATGTTATTCTGTGTATGATGTTCAACTAATTTTTTTTTCCCCTTGCCTTTTATTCATTTGGTTACCCGTTTTTCCCTTTCTGATTTGCACACTATGTGTTCATATGTGAGTAAAGTGGATAGGTTTATTAATAACTAGTATTATTCATCTGCTTCTGTGTGTATAATACACCTCAGGTAGACGAACTGTTTGGGTTATGCAGAATAAATGAATTGGTGAAATACAGTTAGGCTTCATTAACATCGAGGGACTGTTGAAATTTATTAGAATTCTTAATATAATTGACTTTACAAAATAAAGTCAGTTTGATATGTAGAATAGTTTGACAGATTTTTTTTTTTTTTGGTAAATTGATGGAATTACCAATTTTGACATCTTGTGGATTTAGTCATATCTTGCCAGTTTCAACTTCAGATCCCTCCTCTTTTTTCTTTTTTTGTCTTCTAGTCCTTTTGCTTTTTTCTTCTCATCCTGAACATAAACATCAATAGTTTTAAAAAGTAAACATTTCCTTTATGTCTCTTTTCTGGGAAAAATTAATTAGCATTAGTAAATCTAGAACTATAACATTAAATGTAAAATATGTTCCTATGTGTTTTGCCATGTCCAAGTCAAGTTATAGAAAACTACAAGGGTAAAATAAATTGTAAAATGTTTTTTGAGGGTCAAGAATAATTTTTAAACCACTTTTTGTTGTCATAATTAAACTCACAGAAAATTACATAAAGTATAAATACACAGCTTAACAAATTTCTTGTAAAGGCAAATATTCATTTAACCATTACCCATGTTATAAGAACATTATCAACACCTCAGAAGTTATTTGAATTCCTTTTCCCAGTAAGAATTCCCTGGTAATTACTTCCTTCTCTTGAATGTGTCTTTTTTTCTTTCTTTTTTTTTAATGTGTGTTTTTTTCTAAAACATATTTTGCCTAACACCATAGTTTAATTTTTTTCAAACTCTATGTAAAGTACAGTATGTGTTCATTGTGTCTAGTTTCTGTCACTCAACATTGTGAAATATGTCCAAGTTGTTACATCTCTAATAATAATTTGGTATTGATAATAAATTTTAAAAATGCAAAAGGAAGTGTCCTAAAATAACTTTGAAAAGTGATATTTTATATTGATTTTTATAATCCTAAAAGTCCACTCATTTCCTCTATAATTCCCAAAACACTGTCTCATAATCTTTGATTTTGTTATTAAAAGAGGGGGGAAGATTAACTCCATGGTTCAATGAATTGGTAATTTTATGTGAGGAAGATTTTATTAGTTAACATTTTGCTCTGATTTATGGTATCTTTAAACCTTTTTAAAATATTGTTAAAATTTTTGAGAGCCAGTATAAATTTTTTTTTGTCTAAAATGTGGGTGAATGAGATGTATCTTTTAGTATTTATTTGTAAAATATAATTTAGAATCTGTACTCTGTTACTCTAAAACAGTTTAATCTCTAAGCCTATACATTCTAAAGAATTAAAATCCTTTTCTTTTTTGGTAGGAGGAATAAACATGGTGTATCTCGAAAGAAGATTGCTCAGATGTTGGATCGTTACGAATACGAAATGTCCATCTCTATTGTAATGAATTCAGTGGAACCGTCACACAAAAGCACACAAAGACCTCCTCCTTCACAGGGGAGACAGAGGTGGGGAGGCTCTCTAGGCTCACATAATCAAGTCTCTGTTACAAATAATCATTAAACTGGCTATTTTCAGCTAACACATTTGTTGGCTTGCCCTTGAAAAAAATTAGTGAGCCTATCTTGAAGTTTAAATAGTTTAAAATGAAAAAAAAAAAAGACTATGTTGCCTCACAAAGGATGTTCCCAGCAAGTTGTTTAAATCCTAAAGTGTAAATAAAAATTATATAAAATTGTTTTTTAAATGTTTTTATAATTTTTTGTTGTTAATCCTTTGAATTATGAAAACACCTTAGTAGAGTGGGTAGGACTAGAATAGTTTTTCTACAACTGAATTTTAAACTAATTGTATCTGTTTTGTAGATAATATTGAGTAGTTTTATAGCTCATACCTAAATCTAACTTTTCATAAAATACTAGTAGTTTTTCTTAACTACCTTAAATATATAAGAAATACTTGATAAAGGCACCTCTGTTGATTTTTCTATTCATTATACAGGTAAAATTATGTTTCTGCAAATTCATCTATATGACAAAAATATTTCTAAGCTATAATTAGCATATCACTTAAATTCTCCATCAAATGCTATACAGCAGTAGGTGTATCAACCACCTGGGTTGTTTTCTCCATAATATACATTTTCATAATATATAATATATCCATATTCATCACCCTTCTCAAACCATCCCCCTATCCTTCCACAATCTCTGGTTCTGGAATGGATAAATAGGGAAATCACTGTATACTTAGAAAAAGCTTTTCAGGTTATTCTGGTAATATATCACTTTTCTCTATTTAACACTGTATAATTCTAATATAAAAAATATTTTGGACAGGTCCTTAGCATTAATTGTAAGATTTGCCTTGTAGGATATTTTATTTCTCCTGGTTTCAGTTTTTTTGTAGACCAACTATATGTCTCATTGGATAGTTTTCTTTATTAGATTGTGTTTTGTCACTTAAAATTTAAAAACTGAGATGGAATTCATTTCTGAGATTTTGTAATTCATCCTCATCTTTGATTTGCTCTTTTTAAGGAAGAAACCCTAGCTAGTTATATCCTATTTAAAAAAATGTTACGATCGTTCAGATGTTTTACATGGTAATATTTCATGGCCTATTTACTTCCTCCTAACCCAGCCCATCCTAAATCTAGTAATTTTTCATCATACATTGTTTAAACCTTTTGCTGTTCTTTTCAACCTTACTTTAAATGTTCTCCCACATCTATATATTACTTTTTAAGTAATACTAAGTGCAAGTCTCAAAACTAAATACAGTACTCTCAGCAAGGTCTGTATTACATTGCTTTTAGTGAGATAAGAATATGATTTCTATTTATTTGTACTATTCACTGCTGTTTACGTTTGAATTGGTATTACTTTGCTTTATTTTGTTTAACATGTGTGTTTGTATGTATTCATCTTAACTAAATATGATACAGCAAATATGCTAACTCATGTTTTGTGTGTAAATGTATATATATTTATACATACACACATTTTCTTCACTATTTTCATGTATTCTTTTGTTTCAGAGTAATACTTCTTGGTATTTAGGCTTGTGTTTTTCCAGTGTTTTATTATGTACATTAGCACATTTTGAAAATAGTATAGAGGATTTAATTTGGGGACAGATGAAACAACTGTCAGATGTATACTGTGTGTTCCTTTCCCTCTGTCTTTATAAAACTGTTAGGAGTAATAGTGCTATGAATCTATAGTTTTTTGATTAATAGATGCTTAATTAGCCAAATTTATTTTAAGGAAGTAGAGAATTGCCTTTGAAAGATACAAATTATAAAGAAATATGTTCATGTTAGACAGTAAGTCTGAAATAAATTTCCAGATTTTATTATGGATCAACTTCATCTTTCAGTACTGCTGAGTACTTAAATAATCATGCAGAGATCATTAATCATTGTTGATTTTTTTTTAGTATAAATCCATACTGAGGCAGGGAAATTAACATTCTGAAAAGGTTTGAAGGTTTTTTTAAAGACAGAAAATTAATAGTTCCTCTAAGCATATTAAATTAATATGGTTCCCCCATTAGCATTCTGGTTAATTTTGTTTTTATTTTTTGAACAATAACAATGAAGTATGAATATGCAATGAAAGATACCAAAATCACTGTTACAAGTCATTGCTTTGGTTTTAAGTCTATAAAAATCTTTAAAAATCAAAAAATTTACTGATTAAAGATATTTCATCAAGATTTTTCTTGTATTCAGATATTCTTGTTTTTTTATGCCCCCAGTTATATTCTTAATGGAATAGCCCCCAGTTCCTGTGCCCCATCCTAAGGTGGTCTCTCCATCCCAAACAATAAACGTGGGGCATTAGTCATCATATTTAACTAAGATAAAATACATTTAGTTAAGTAGAATGCAGCTTGACCTAAGTTGTTTTTTCATAGGCTTGGTATAAAAACCACTTCCTTTTTGATAAACAAATTTATAGTTTTCTATATGTCATAATCCTGCTAGCAGAAATACTTAATGTGGTAATTAAGTTGAACTTATGGTACTGCTTTTTAAATAGATAATCTTTATTTTCAGTATTCATCTTTTCAAAAAATGTTAACTTTTTAGTATTTTATGTCTGTTTTAAAGTAAGATTGTTATAAAAGATTGGGTTGTATTTTGTTGTTGGAGCAGTAGGGTGGATTTAAGTATTTGAAGTTTGGTTATTTCTTGTCTAATATAGACTGTGGAATTTTCTAGTCTTATGCATAGGTAAGTTTTGAAAGAGTTCATGATTTTAAAGGATATGAAATCTTTATTTTGACCACATTCGCGTTTTTGTTATTGCAGAAATATCTGATTTTCTGAGCCTGGTTTTATAAGTATTTATAAAGAAAATTGGTGGTGTTCTCTTTGGAAAATGTTGAAGAAATGTGGTTGTTTATATATTAGTGCCTTAATTGTATAGGTTTGCTAGTCTTTATTGAAATTTTGTGTAGTATTCTAACATGAATGCAGTAACTGAGAATTTGTTATTAGGGCCTAAGGTGTGTGTGTGTGTGTGTGTGTGTGTGTGTGTGTGTGTGTGTGTGTGTGTGATTGTTATTAACATTTGCAACTCATTAAATAGAATTAACACCTTAGTCTAGAATCATAACAAAGCATGGTTTAGTTTTGTTACAATGACCATTCAGAATAAATATTTGGTGGTAGCAGAAAAAGAAGATTGAGTTAATGGTTTCAGAGTTAAGTTTTATAGGTTACAATTTATAAATAAAGTTTTTTTCTATTAAAATTGTTAGATGTAATTCTTGTGAATTTACAGAGGAAGGAGGGATTGTATTAAAAAAGTAATGAATAGCTCCCTTTTGATGGTTTTTCTCTTTACTAATTAAGATTGGCATACCAATTTTTATTTTAAGATTAAGGTATTATTAAAATAATCGGTCTCCTTATATGTATATCAGATTTCTTCTTAAAATGTCCTTAGGGTGGTAAAAGGTACTGTTTAGTTTGTTCAATGACATAAGTTCTGAAAGAGGAGTAGTGATTTTCTCTTGCATCTTTCTGATTCCTTTTTACATATTTAAAACAACATTTAAATTAATTCAGTTGATTCAAATTGCTAAGTATCTTAAGTCTAAAAAATTCTCACTTTTTGCATGGTTTGTAAATTGCAAACCTTGAAAATTTATAATTATAATGTTTACAGCTAGGTTCAGAAAACTTGTAATAGATTGGTTATCATTTACATTCAATATCTTTATTTACATTTACACTAGAAGGCATAAGTTTTATAATAGAATATACATTTGTGAGCTTAATTTTTAATATATCTTCTCTGGAAATTCTTAACACATTGTTGCTGTCAAATTGTGCACAGGAACAAGGGGCAAGAATAGCACAAATAACTTTTTGAAGAGAGAGCCTCAAGCTAAGGCTGTGTCTGTTGGAAAATTTTGACTTTGGGTGCATTTAATAGAAGTTTATTTTAGTAATTTAGTTTAGAAATAATCTCTTCTTTCTCCTTTTTCCTAACAAATTTTGTTCTCTGAATGATAGCCCTGTTGCGTTCCAGGTGTGATAATTGTGGTAATCACATATTATAATACACTTCCCAATATAGGATCCATTAACTTCAATAAGCTGTCTTAAATTTAAGTATGAATAAAATAGATTCTTTTATTTAGCATGGACGCAGTTACAGTTTGTCTCCTCATCTTAGAACAAGACACAATCACATTAACAAGCATTATCCCTACTTTGGTGAGTAACTGAAGACTTCATCTGGGAGTGTCTTCCAGTTGTAAAAAATGTATTTTTAATTGAATTTTTTGTAAATTAGTGGGAAGACTGAGAGATTTTTAAGATGACCTAGGGCTTTTTTGCCTTTAAACTTATTAGTAACTAAGGGAAAAAAAGAATAATCTGTTCATTCATGGTTAAAATTGTGTTCCAATTCAGTAGAGTCCATTGAAACACACTTTATTTGGATTATTTTCTTGTCTTGCAGTTTTAACTGCATTCCCGGTTAGGACATATAAAATCAAGGTTTTACCCTTGGGGTTAATTCACCTACAACTGTTAATTACAGTTGTACAACTCCGTAGTGTCTCTTCAATTATAATCCTGAACTCTTAAGTTTTTTTAGTATAAAGAAATGAAATTTGATTTTGGGAAGGGATTGTGGATTCTTTCTCTGCCTTTATTATTTTTTCTTTCTTAATAGTATTATAAATCATGTTTCTTGTTTCTTTCATAATCTTTTCCTGTACACATTTTTTTTCTTCTGTCCATTTTCTGCTCAGCCATCCTTGTGTAACTGCATAACGTTTTTAATGACGATGGTGGGATGGTAAGTGGCTGACAAAAATGGAGGTAACTGTTTCCCTCCTGTTTCAGTGAACTCATTGTTCCTTAGGAACCTTATATAATTAACCATGTTATATTTATAGACAAGCAGCTTTGCAGTTGGTTTCCTGACCCTGCCGTTTAGTTAGAACTTAGATATGAAAATGCTTGGAAAGATTTATAAAAGTC